GTAGGACTTTCAATAAGGAAAGGAACATGGTTGGAAGGCTTGAGGATTTCGTTTTTAATAACAGCTTTAAAATTGATTTATGGATGGTCCCATAACTTAACTACGATATAATCCAAAATAAATAAGACAAAGTGAAAATAAATTGTACATATGTTGTTTATAGTGTTGATATTTTTTCTTTTCTATGAAAATATGTTCTTTAAATGTTTTTTTTTTATTATTTCATTTTGATCTTTTATATGTACATATCTTCTTTAAGTGTTTTTTTTTATTACTTCATTTTGATCTTTTATATATACATATCTTCTTTAAGTGTTTTTTTATTATTTCATTAATATATGTGTCGTAAAATAAAAGTATTTTCTTTTGTTATTACATTTGTTTTTGTTGCTGTTTAGGCTTTCAATAATACGAATATAATACAATAATACGAGAAGGCTTATCACATACTGCCTTATCGGAATTATCAGTGTTCAGGTTATAAACATTGGCAGATAGCAGTCAGTCCCGGCCTGCTAGTGAAGAAGTACCTGATAATCTCTTAAAATTTTATCCTGCCATTAAAAACCTTTGATCGAACCCTCTCCTGGAGAAGCCATGTATCTATTAAATAATGCTCTACCTTAAAATGTATAAATTATTTCCGTCACCTATTTTCATTAGAAACCCATAGACTCCTGGTTACTTCCTTAATATATCCCCTCTTTGACTACTGTTGTGCGGCAAATGGAGGCATCTCTTGGGATCTCGAGGAAAACCTCAAACGTTTGATGAATTGCTTTGAACGATTCATCTTCAGAATCCCAAGAGAAGTATCTATCTTTAATTTTAATGAAGAGTTGCAGATGTTTTATCCTTTAAATATTAAATAGGAAATATTTTCTGTCAAACTTCCTCTACCAATTCATCCAATCATGTCATCCCTCATACCTTTCCGAGCTCCTTCAATTCAAATTATCTGTTGACTTCCACAATACCTATTTCCAGCTCGCCGAACCGCGACTTTCAACAGATCTTTCATTATTCGATCCTTGTCCTTATGGAATTCCTTCCTATATCTGTCACTCCAATACCCTACCTATCTTTAATCCCGCCTATTCAATCACTCCTTATCCATCAAGTTCCTAAACACTTGTAAATAACCTTTCTGTAAATATGCATATAAGTCATTAATTTGTTTTCAAATTTTTTTTTTTTGTAAACTATTAATGGTAGAAATTAACTTTTTAATATTTCTATTTGTTTATTTTATTATTATTTTTAAATAAAACTCTGATGCCCTAAAGCCCAAAATTGTATTATTCTAAAGGGACTTGTCCAAGAATTAAAAAAATCACTTTTTCTGGCATTACAGACTATGTAGATCTTTTGGCGTCTTAACAAGCCTGCTCTATCGCTGCCTGTTTTGGGCTATTTCTTTCCATTTATCTGCACGCAGCTCTATTGTATCTTTGTTGATTTTATCTATCCATTTGCTTTTTTGGCCTTCCATGTGATCTTTTGCCTTCTATTGATTCATTCATTGTTAGGTAGAGACTTCCAGATGGATTGCTATGAGCTACATGCCCCACCCATCTTAACCTCTGTGCCTTCATATCATGGGATATTGATTGACCAGTTTCTGTAAGCAGTTCTTTATTGGTCTTTCTTATCGATATGTTACTATTCTGATCCCAGATCGCTCCTGTTATTGAGCGGAGAATTTTTCTCTCAAATCTTTCAATATTTTTTTCTAGGGCACTGGTTAGTATCCAGGCCTCTCAGCCATATATTAAAACTGGCTTTATCATAGCATTGTACACCCTTAATTTGAGATTTTTCGGAATTTCAACATCTTTGAAAGGGAGAAGAAAGCTCTGTTTGCGCTAGTAATAGTTTTCCTACTATCAGGAATGATTTTCTTTTTATGCAGATCCTGTTATTGGGGTGGAATTTTCGACTTATTATCTTGTCTTCATTTACTTGTAGGCCGATTTGCTCTGTCTCTCTTATCAGAGTCTTAACGAGTTTTTTAATGTCCTCTTGATTACTTCCTAGGAACCTACTATTATTATTAAAAACAGTAAGCATAATGGTTTAATTTAAACGTTTTTTTTTTTGTTATTTAATGGAAAAATTTTCAATTATATCAAATAGACATGAAAACAACAAATTAAAAGAACACATGTAATGATAAAAATATGGGATGCTAGTGTTTTATCTGAACAAAGGCCAATCAAGCAAGATATGAATAATCAAAACCACTTATGTAAGCCATGACTCATGGTTATTATCTTACCCTCCAGAAGATAAACTATCACGTTATAAAAAAAAAATAATCACAAGTCTGGAACCTTCTCATGCGCTTACTTCCGTCTAATTTTCAAAATGATAATTAGTATTCCCATCTGCCATTTTTAAAAAACATAAGGAAGTATAGCAATTTTTTGTTTTAGTTATTTAGATCTACTTAATAATTTTTGTTAACACAAAAAAAAGCTGTTTCATTTTATGAACAGAATATATTCAGGTTGAAGGATAATTATAATTATTAGTTAACAATTTCAAAATTTTGTCAATAGAAATTAAATTTGTGCTGAATTGGTTGAGACACAGCAGAAAAACTAACAACTTCATTTTTGGAAAGATTGGTTTAATCTCTAACCCCATTTATAAGGTGAAAAAAAAATGTCATAACCTTAATTAAAATTCACTAAATCTTCAATAAACTAATTTATGTTTTCATATAAAAATGGATATATTGCAAGGAAATTTTTCATAATTTGAACCACTAAAAATATATTAAGTGAAAAATTGACTACCAATTTAAATTTGCAATATTTTAAATTGAGGTCTCGATAAAAAAAAAAAAAAAAGCATTTTTGAGACATACCATGATTCGAGCTGGAGTAATATATTAAATAATTTTTTTTTAGAATATAAAAAAATGGTTCCATTATTCTAATGAAAGGTTCAGAAATTGTTTGAACTGATTCTTATTATTATTTTATATATATATATATATATATATATATATATATTGTTTTTAACAGCTCAGGAATTTTGAATATTAAATCAACAAAGTTGAAATCAACCTGTGACATATATAGGTTTTCTTGTCGTAGGGAAACCTTTCAAAGAACACTTTCCGTTGATATCCATCACTATTATAATGTAAGAAGCACTATAAATGCAGCTTAAGAGAGGATAATTTTAACAGAGACTTATTAAATTATGTGTAACGTCGGCCATGATAATGAAATTTTTTTTTTTAGTTATTTATACAAATCCAATTATACGAATAAAAGAAATACAGTCATCCAAGGGTGTCTACAAAAAGCTTTCTATAAAATTGTGCCTAATTTTAATGTTATTTTTTCATATTCAGATTAAAGACAAGGCTTCAATAAAAAAAATTGTAGTTGTCTTCTTACCTTGCATAACACCCATGCTCCAATTTGTTCTTATTAGGACAGAATTAGACAGAAAATTAAGCGTTAAAAATTAGACGGAAGTAAGCGCATGAGAAGGTTCCAGACTTGTGATTATTCTTTTTTATTATAACGTGATAGTTTATCTTCTGGAGGGTAACATAATAGACTGCTATGAGTCATGGCTTACATGTATATGTATATATGTTTGAAGCATGACTTGTGTTTACTGTAAACATTAAAAAAAACTATAATTAGGCAGACTTTAAGATGAACAAATTAGTCCAAAACGTTATCTAATGTTTTAATTACAAAGAAGAAATAAATTAAAGAAGTTTTAAAAGAATCACTTTTTTTCCCCCTGACATTATTATACAAAAACTTATAATAAAAAAAACCTTTTATATAACAGGTGCATACATATGTATTTAAAAAAATTAACACCTTAATAGGTTTAGTGTATCATACTTGTGTATACCTGTGTATATATACTTGTGTATACCTTACTATAGTTAAATTATATTAACTTATTGATGAAGTGGGACACCTCCTATCCTGTAGGCCTCAGGTTCTAATTCGGCTGTCACAGGTAATTATTTAATTTATTAAATCAGCTGGGGATTGACCCTGGGGTTGGGAGACCTTTCTGGGGCACAAGCAGCCTTTATTAAGTGGGTTAGATTAGTTTACAGAGTTTTAAACATGTTTGCACATTTCACATAATTTCCTGACATAGGAATACATCAGAACTCCATTTTATCAAGTAGGTACTCTCAGTAGCGGGACCAGGATTTAATTTTTGTAGTGGGCTTCGAAAACATTTGTGTATAAATCATAACAATAATTACTTTGGAAGAAAAATAAAGAAAATAACTACCTATATGAAATTGTATTTAAATGATTCTTAAAATCCTATTAAATATAGTTACATGAACAATAATACTTTTTTAAAGGTAATTTTTTAATGAGAAGTTGATCACACCCCCTGATCAACTCCTCATATTATATCACGATCAACCATCTCTACATCATCATAATTTTTTTCATAAGGCATGATTATATTTTACCATTATGGAGGAGGGGAGGGCTTTAGCTCGAAAGCCCTCCCCCCATAGATCTGCCTCTGGGTACTCCTGATTAAATAATTAATTAAGGGGGAAAATCTGGTGACTGAGCAAGTTCTCAGTGTAATAACCTTATAGAATCTAAGAAACCTGCTTATGATTGTCCAAGAAAATTACAAAGCACTGAACACCACAATATCCCTTTATGGGTTGGGGAAATACAAATCTTTTAAAAACATCATTGAGCAATAATAATTCTGCAAATATATCTATAACATCAAAATCATATTTGTATCGACTAGTTCAATTCTTAGACTTTCAACATTTTTAAAAATACTCCCTGATTTTCCATCCAATAGAAGATAATAGACACCCAGTCATTACAATTGTGTATACAAAAGCTACAATCTTTGAACACCGACAATTATAATTTAAGTAATAAGAGAGTCTTATTAATTATTTTTTATTAAAAATTATCAAAATAAATAAAAAATATCAATATCCACGATTAATAGATAAAACTTACCGAGCTGAATGCCCAACAGGAACCACAATGACCCTGATTCTTTACTGGTGTTACAGCACCCTTAGTCCTCCAATCGACTTCTTTATTTAAAGTGACGTGTGCAGGTGGTATGAAAGTATAAGATTGCAACTGCTTATTATGGGCTTTCAATGACTTATTGAATCCGAGGTATACATCAGAAAACTCGTGAAGTAGCTGCAAAATATTAAGCTCATATTATTATGAGGATACAAATTATAAAAAATTATATTTTTAGTAAAACTATCAATAAGAAAAAAAATTAAATTATGAAATAAACATTAAACATAAATTTTTGTCATTTTTAGTAATTATAGCTGAGCTAATAATGATGAGGTGGTTTTTGAAATTATTATTTAACGCGTGAATTATTAAAGATAAGAAAGTTCAGAGGGTATTATATTGCGTTCAATATCAATATAGCTCACTAGATAAAATAATCAATTACGATTAAAAGAATAAATAAATAATATAAATAAAATATATAGTTAAAGATAATAAAATACAGTGCAAAACAAATTTAATCATTTTGTTTGTTTGAGGTTTAATCAGGGTTGCCACTTTAGTAAAAAGTTCTCTTTTTAGGGAAATTTCAACGTTGGTAGGGGAATAAAGGAAAACAATTTTTATCAATTAAAGCCTAATCCGAGTATAGGTTCATCTATTTTACTTTCATATATGCAGTATATTACATATATAGTATGGGAAAGTATTGCGATTGTGAAAATTTTCTTATCTGAGTTTTCAACGGAAATACACGTTTAGAGGTATTCTGACCAAATAACTAAGTCCCGCAAAATGGTATGTGTGTCTTACATCAGTCTAACTCAAAAACGAAAAGTCGTACAAAAGTGAAATTGCATATTTAAACTTTGTATATACCTCAGATGTTACAGAATCTTTTTAGTCAAAATCGGCTTACCGGAAGTGGCACTTTATTTATATAATCGCATAACACATTTTTACAATTTTCTCGAAAACGGCTCAAATGATTTTGATAAAACTCAGTGTATATTGTATAATTGAGTGATCTTTAATATCATTGAGGTCTGATCCCCATTGATCTCATTTACAGAGCTTAAACGCTTAAATGTTGAACATATATTTCTCTAAAGAACCTTGAATTTACTAAATAACTATCATTATTAAGAGTTATGAAAAAATGCTAAATATAACTTTTGAAAGAATTTGATAATTGAATAAAGAAGAAAAAAAATAAAAATGCTTATCCAGGTCGAAAATGAATCTCCGGAAATAATAGTCAGAAGTATACGTATAATATATCGGTGGAAAGCATAGAATTTTATAAAGAACAATATCTAATATAGAATGTCATGGAGAGTGACAAAAAATTATAAATAATAATTTGTGAAAACTAATATTATTTGACAGAAATCGAATGAAATTTACTAAATAAATGTAAAATTTTAAAATTTTTGAAAAAATTATTTAAAATCTATCTAATCAAGGCAATGACATTGTTTAAAAAACTATTTCATTGTACTTGTGTGAAAGAAGAAGTGAAATATAAAAATATTTCATGGATGTATAAAGCATATGTTTATCACCATAAATATATTTACTGAAGTTTAATAATTGTAGATCTGATATTATATTTAAATAATTAGGTATCAACGTCAGTTTATTCCGAAAAACTGTCATGTAAAATTTAAAAAAAATAAATTAGTGAATAATTAGATGAATTTTCTCTTTATAAAATCCCAACATTATTCACTTACCATTAGTATCACAAATTTTGATCTATCTATGGTGGGCAATGAAAATCTCCTAATTTTGTTTTAGTAAACTTTAGAATGGAAAATTCTATTTTATCCTCTACTGTTGATATAATAAATAGGGGTTTTGTTATAATTAATGATTTGTTTGTTATAAGTTTTAAGCTGTAGCTTCGTTAAAAATACACTTCAAAATTTTTGTAATAGCCCAACATTGCTAACAAATAATTACTATTTAAAGTAGAGTGGTAAGTGAAAGTTGTGTGTTGAGCGCATCAGATGTTTTTAACAGCGACTGAAACAGAGGTTAGAATTAAAATTAAGCGCGCATCAGGTTTTTTAATGATATAAGTAAAACAGACATAAAACGAGTAGCTAAATACAATATTATTTATTATTTTTTATATATTTGGACAGAAGGTATTTTTAAGTTCGTTCTTTGGGAAAAAAAGGAGGAAAACCGGACTGACCAACAAAAACCAAATTATGGAGTATGATTGCAAGTAGAAACAAACATGGGATATAAAAACTACAGTGTGTGTATAAGACCATACGATAGAAATAAAAAAAAACAAATCGAGGGGGGTCCATATGAATAAGGGGGTTGAGTACTTACATTGATTTGTTTAGCTAAAAATACGGTCAAAATTCAACCTCCTTGAAAGTTAACCCACATCAAAAATGCACTTAATGACTTTTTGCAATAAACTGCCAAGGTGCTCACATTATTTCATTCACTTCAATTTTTATTGAAAGATTAATTATTTCTATACATTTAATAAAACTTAAATCATCTGTTTTGTTAATTTAAATTTTTATTTTTAAATTTGATATTTTTCTTTATAAAAAATTAAGCATAATTTCATTTATTTTATCGTAAATAAACAAAACATAAATAAAAACAATCTTAACCAGGAAGGAAATTAAAGTAATTGAATATTTCGGATAATTTTTTGTCTATTCTAATAATTCTTACTACATGATTTTTATATTTTTCTAAGGCTTAAACATCTAATCTCTAAAAGACTAATTACAACATAATATAAAAAAGAAGAAAAAATGAAAATCAACAACTTAAGTGAAGAAATATACAAACCATGTCTGCCAAATGATTCAGCTTCAATTTGAATGACACTTTGCCTTGCTTATATTTATAGTTATGTTTCTCTATCCTTTTTTTGTTTTCAAGAAATATTTTCTTTCTGTAACTTTCTTCTAGTTCATTAGCATAGTCCTTTCTATGAAATTTCTAAAACAAATAAAAAACAAAATTTTAATGTATTACCACAAATATTAGTTAATATCAATAATCGTCAATTTAATCTCATTTTCCAAAGCACTAAAAAATTATGTGAGCTGACTGCTGGACAATTATTTAATTTATGATAAACAAAAACAATGTTTCTAACAGGTTTTGTAAGGCCTTGAAAAAATTTGGCAAGTTGCCATACTTCCTTCACCTTCAGGAAGGTTTCCAGTCCAGGAAGTACAAAAATAATAAATCAAAGTAATTTAAAAAAATAATCATTGATAAAAAAGGCAATCTATATAAAATTAACAACTGGGGCGGGGTGGCTGAGCGGGCTAACGAGTGTGCACAGCACCGCCGTTGCCCGGCAACCTGATATATGAGATAATTTGGTTAAAATAATCACGAGTTCACCTCCCGGTGCAGAGGTCTTTCAACTTTGGCAATAATTCCTCACCCTTTCGCTCAGGCCCGGGAAAACCCCCGTATAGTCTGAAAGAAAAGGAAAGGGAGGACAAAGAAAAAATTAAAAATTAATTTTATAATTTTAACAGGATAAAATTAAAAGATTCTAAACACAAACCCTTTAAGAAATAGTTAAATAACTGTTTCAAGTTGATACTTTTTTTCTTGTCTGCTAATATGCGATTAATAGTGTTTGATCAGCATATATATGACCTTGGGTTTTTTCTTTTCTGTTGATGCCTCAACTTGCAATGTTGACAAGTTTATTGTTTAACTTTTTTATTTATTAACTCAAGGTTTTGAGTTCAGAATTTTATAATTATATCACAACAATAATCAATGTATGTCTCTTTTTGAGCTTTCAATATTCATTATAACAATTTCCTTTTTTTTTTGTACATCAGCTAATTGTTGTTTTAAAATATATATAAAATATGAACATATTTATTAAATAAAGTACTTACTCTTCCTTTGAGTAACAAAGCAATTTGAAAGACAAATTATTATCGATTATATTTTAAAATAAATCCTGATATTTATTTTTATTTTTTTTCCTACCCCCCAGGAATTTCTTTATTACAAAATACAATATATATAAATGTTATATATACATAATCTGATATTTAACAATAATAAAATAAATAAATAAAACACTGTTTAATTGAAAATATTGGGAGAGAAAGGGTACTTTCTTAAAGAGTTATGCATTTTTAAATGGAGCAACATTTGGTACTTTTAAACTAGATAGCAAAGAAAAATAGATCACAGTAAGTGTAATTGCATAAAAATTACAATTTTTATAATTCTATTTATACATTTATGAGAGGAGAATGAAAGCTACCCCTGAGTAATGGCAACATTCAGATCAACAAATTTATTTTTTTATGGACTGCTAATTTTCATTTAATTTTATATATATATATATATATATATATATATATATATATATATATATATATATATAAAATCTAGTTAATGTTTACTATATTTTTGTTATGCAATTTTTACTCAGAGAATGGTCATTATATAGAATAAGACAAAGAGTTTACAGACAAAGAATCATTGGTGAAGAATGTTAATAGCCATGACTCTAAGTGGTTTCATCCTTTCCAGCATCCAATAGAGGTCACCTACTGCACCACAATCAACTATTTCTATCAATAATTATTCCCGATTTATCCCTAAACCAACTAATATAATTACCATTACAATATAGGTTTGAAAATAAACAATAAATATATTTTTTTTAACATAAGACCTTCAAAACCAACTAATATAATTACCATTACAATATAGGTTTGAAAATAAATAATGAATATTTTTTTTTTTTTTTAAACATGAGATCTACAAATTCATTTTATTATTAAAATATAATTAAGTTGACTAATTAAATATTTGTTTTGTACTTTTGAATAGAGCTAGATTAAATTTAATTCATAGCGAACATAGAACAGAAAAGTTTATTATTAAATCTCATATAAGAAAGATATTCGTTGTTATAACAAGATAAATATTTTGAAATTTATTTTGGTGTAAACAAAATACCTTGAAGAGAGTGAATTCATCAGCACTGAGATCGAAGAATGACACTGCTTGGCCTAAAGCAATTAGGCAGCTCAAAACTACAAGCCCTTGCATTATAGTTAGTAATGTTGGATAAAAATAAAATAAAAACGACAACTGTAACGGTAGAGCCCCACTCAACACAGTAGGGGACAATACACTGAATCAGACGATGAACAACAAACAACAGTATACGGAAACAATCCCCACTCCTTTGGCTACTGCGCAGTCGCTCACCTTCAACCTTTTATTTCTTGGAATCTAGTTTCATTATTTTTTTTATTTCATTTTTTCTTCTTCTATTCGTCGTATGTTATCAGCCGTTCGTGGCCTGGCCGAGATAATTTTGTTTTGATAGTTTTATTTTTTTTTAATCATTCTTTAACCACATCCATGACAATAATATGTTAGTAATCTTCAAATAATAAACTTTTGGATATATACTACTAATTATTTGTAATATTATATTCTATAAATTAAACTTATTAAGAAAACAGGTTTAAGAGCATTTAATTAGCTTTAATATTAATTAAGTAGAGCTTAATTAGTGAACAAATTGAGATTCTCCTCAAATTGTGTAAAAAAATTATATGATTTTTTTTTCACGTCCCTTAAAATTACCCGTGCTTTAAGAAAAAATGACTATAATTAATTGTTACAAAACTTTTATTTCGTATTTTTCCGTGAACTTGGATGCAATATAATTATGATCACTAGCGGATCCAGGATTTAATTTTGGGGGGGGGGCTTCAGCCCGAAAGATTTTTTTTTCATAAATCTTAATAAAAATAATTTGGAAAAAAAATAAATTAACTACCTATATGAAATAGTGTTTAAGTGGTTCCTGAAGTCCTACTAAATGCAATTAAACTAACAAGAATACTTTAAGAGATAGTTTTTAATATTTTTTTCTGTAAAACATGGTTATATTTTACCATTTTGGGGGGGCTTCAGCCCGAAAGTCCCCCCCCCCCACGTAAATCCGCCTGTGATCATGATAATTGCCTAAATACATTTTTTTATTAACAAACAAATTTAAATAATCATTTTTCAAATATTTTTCGGTTATGAAAATGTGTCTCACTCAGATCACTAGCGGATCCAGGATTTAATTTTGGAGGGAGCTTCAGCCCGAAAGATTTTTTTTTCTTATACATATAACGATAATTAATTTGAAAAAAAAGTAGTAAATTAACTTACCTCGCGCGGGCTCATTACCGCGTATGGGGAGCGTCCCACGGGTGGCGGATGTGGGGATGGTTGGTGGAAATTCCTTGGAAGTTCCTCCCGGCTAAGTCCGATGGACTCGCTGACCAACAATGAGAGGGGCCCTCCAGACTTGCTGGAGGGAGGGGACCTCCAGACTTGCTGGAGGTAGGGGTCCACCAGACTTGCTGGAGGGTGTGACGTAGGATTGAACGCCCTACTCACATATCTTTAGTTCACCAAACACCACAAAAAGTCATGGATCTCCCTAAGGTAAAACGCTCATTATCCGGAGGTAAACTAGTCCCCCGTTCGGGTCTCCGGGTGGGGACTGCTTTAGGGGATTCATGGCGCAAGTTGAAATATAGGGATTTAAATATTGGTACGTGGAACGTAAGGAGTTTAAACACAGCAGGGGGGCTAAAATCGGTCGCGAATGAGGTAAATGGGTACAATTTGGATGTCGTGGCTCTGCAAGAGGTTCGCTGGCCAGGGGAGGGCTCGATGAGGGAAGGGAAGTACACTATTTGGTACGGAGGAAGCGGGAATCATTGTTTAGGTACCGGGTTTCTAATTAGGCGTAGATTACTATCCGCTTTGAGGGACGTACAATTCTTTAGTGATAGAATTTCGGTAGCTACATTTCAGGGACGTTGGTTTAAAATCGCATTAATAAACATACATTGTCCTACCGAAGACAGTGACGATGAAGTCAAAAGTGAATTTTACGATAAACTCGAATGGGTTTATGATAAACTACCATGAAACTACATGAAAATAATTGTAGGTGACGCGAACGCAAAGGTAGGAAGGGAAGAAGTTTATATTCCGACGATTGGTAAAGAAAGTTTGCGCGAATATAGTAATGATAATGGGATCCGTCTGATAAACTTTGCCATCTCGAAAAATCTGATAATTAAAAGTACGACGTTTAAACATAAGGATATTCATAAATATACTTGGACATCACCGGATTCGCAAACACGAAATCAAATCGATCATGTCTTGATACAACACAGCTGGCAAAGCAGTATAATTAATGTACGGTCTTATCGCGGAGCAGAATGTGGGTCGGATCATGAATTAGTAATCGCGAAACTTCGACAAAAACTTAATATAAAAAAGAGAAAAGAAAACCGTTTCGATTTTGAGAATTTTAATTTGGAAAAATTAAAAAATCCATCAATTAGAAACCAATTCGAGCTAGATGTTAAGAATAGGTTTGAAGCTTTAGAGCTTCCTGACGAGGACCACGAGGATATTGACAAGTTATGGATAGAGATCAGAGATAATATTAAAGCGGTCGGTAACTCGTGTCTAGGAAAAAAGGAAAATGAGAATAACAAACTGTGGTTTGATGAAGATTGCTTAAACATGTGTGAAAAAAAGAAAAGCCGCTAAATTAAAAGCTCTAAATAATCCTAGCGAAGACAATCTGGAATACTTCCGAATCTCAAAGAACGAAACGACAAAATTGCTCAAAAATAAAAAAAGGGAGTATCTTAAAAATAAAATAATTGAAATAGAAACAAATAGAATCGAAAATAACGTAAGAGACATGTACAAAGGTATAAACAGATCACGTAAATATGTAGGACCCGTAACGTCTGGAATTAGGGATGATAATAACAATATTCTGACCTATCCGGTTGACGTATTGAATAAGTTTAAGGACCACTTTGACAATATTTTAAATACGGGAAATTATGATCTGTGTCCTCCTTCTGAGTACCAGAGTGCTGAACCATTAATAGAAGGACCAAGTAAAGAGGAAGTTGAAGTAGCTATCGGAAAAATCATATAAAGCAGCGGGAATCGATAATATTCCTACTGAACTAATTAAGGCATGCGGGGAAGCTGGAGTTTCTAAAATACATCGGTTGGTTAAAAAGATCTGGGTGAACGAGAAATTACCTGAAGAATGGAAAGAATCTATTCTTATTCCGATTCACAAAAAGGGTCCAAGGACGGATTGTAATAACTATCGAGGAATTTCACTCCTTCCGGTATGTTATAAAATATTCACTTCAATCTTAACCAGTCGAATCACGGAATACGCCGAGGAAATTATCGGAGACTACCAATGCGGATTTAGACGGAATCGTTCGACTATTGATCAAATATTTTCTTTACGGCAAATATTAGAGAAAAAATTGGAGTATAACGGTATTGTTCACCAGCTGTATATAGATTTAAAAAAGGCTTACGATTCTATTGACCGCCAGAAACTGTATAATATTCTAATCGAGCAGGGGATTCCAAAAAAACTAGTAAATCTAGTCAGGATGTGCTTGACGGAGACACTCAATAAAGTTAGAATCGGTAATAATTTGTCCGAAAAATTTGAGGTTCGTTCGGGCTTAAAACAGTGGGATTCTCTTTCGCCTGTCCTGTTCAATTTGGCATTAGAACATGCCATTAGGGAGGTAATGCGAACCGAGAAAGGTTTGGATCTGGGCGGGACAACATCCGTGCTGGGCTATGCTGATGATCTGGTACTGTTAAGCGAAGACGTTGAAACTATAAAACTAAATACGACAACGTTAATGAAAGCCGGTAAAGAACTAGGACTCGAAATAAACGTGGATAAAACAAAATATATGGTTAGCTGCAAAAATGGCGATACTACTGGTGATATCGATATAGATGGTAATATGTTTGAACAAGTAGATAAATTTAGGTATCTAGGTTCTACGATAACTAGAAAAAACGGAATTGAAGAAGAGATTAAGGTTAGACTGAAGGCGGGGAATGCTTGTTATTTTTCTGTGACAAAACTACTTAGTTCGCGCCTCTTGTCCCGAAACTTAAAAATTAGAATTTATAAAACAATTATCTTGCCTACAGTTCTTTATGGATGCGAAACTTGGCCGCTTACATTAAGGGATGAGCAGCGTCTTAAGGTTTTTGAAAATAAAGTATTGCGTAGAATATTCGGACCGAAGAAGGATGAGTTAACCGGAGAGTTCAGACGGTTACACAACGCCGAATTGCGTGAGATGTATCCGGGTAATATAATTGAGGTAATTTCATCGCGGCGAATCAAATGGGCTTGTAAAGTTGTTGGGCTTAGTAACGAGAGAATTCCTAAAAGGTTAATGTTTGCTGTGCCGAATGGTAAGCGTCCGAGGGGTAGACCGAAGCGAAGGTGGGAAGATTGCATTAAAGCCGATCTGAAGGGACTGGGTTTGGACGGCGAACGGTGGAGGGAGGTGTGTAACAAGCGATTGGTGGTGTCGGCATCGAACCTTCGGGTTCGCTAAGCCGTATTATTATTATTATTATTATTATATGAGATGGTGTTTAAGTGGTTGTTGAAGTCCTATTAAATATAATTACACGAACAAGAATACTTTAAGAGATAGTTTTTAATATTTTTTTCTTTTTAACCATGGATATATTTTACCATTTTGGGGGGAGGGGACTTCAGCCCTAAAGCCCCCCTCCCCTCCATAGAAATCCGCCTGTGACACAGATCTCTAGTATACGAATTGATCCGTAATTATAAATGAAAAACTTAATGTTTGTAGTCCTAAAATTTACGTTTGAAATACATAAACCTGTTGATTGCTTTAATCATTTTCAGGAAAACGTAAATTTTAATAATACAAAGTTAGTTTTTCTCTTATAAATACGAATTTAAGGAATCTAATTAAATGAGGAAGTTTTCCAAAAATGGGTTATCTATAGTATAGTTGGATGATGATAAAAAAAAAAAAAATCGTGAATAATCTTAGTTCAGTCGCTCAAAAGTCTTCTTTAAGTGATTTTAACAAGACAAACTCTTACCGTGAAATAAATTTTATCTAGCTTACATTGGAGAAATTGTTAACTACTTAAATTAAATATTTCATTAGTTATGGCTTCATATTCAACAACAAACATGAGGCTTAAAAAAAACACAAAATTGGAATTTTCTGCTAAAAATTAGCCCATAGTTTATATGTACTTTTTTGTAGCTGTTGAGGTCTGTTATCACTCCTATAAAAATTTTCCTCAATTTACGGAACACCCAGTATAATAAACTTCAATATAATATATATTAAGGAGT